ATATATATGTATGTATATGTATGTATGTATTCTTGAAATTTATATAATGTTGAAAATATTAAAAGCTTGAATATGGGACTCACTCCCATGGGACATCGCCGACAAGCATCCAATCGCCATCCTTGTCTTCATAAGTAAGGACATAGTCGGACCCATGAAGTAGATCCAACAACCAGCCCTCAGTTAATCCATCTTTGGCCAGTAAGCCCTGTGAACCACAATGGCCTGAAACAGAAGTGTAATTATCAAAAGTAAAGTCTGCAAATACCCACCAAAAGAGAAAATAAATCTTCGCATATTTAAATATAAAAGATTAAAATTCGGATTAATTTGCAAACTGCCTTTCTTAAGATCAAACAACAAGCACTTGCGCCATTATTTGAGGAGAAGTATAAAATAAGTTCTTTCAGTGAAGACAAGTTCAGTTAAATAGAGTTAGAGACAGCCACCGGGAGAGGGAACGTGAAGCATGTTTAGTTGTGGAGTTCTATTAAAAAAAGATTTGCTAAGTAAGAGATTTAATATTAAATTGATCCTACGAGTTATTTCATTAAAACATGTTTTAATAGTTTTATAATATTTTAAAACTTCTAGTTCTTTATAAAGAGAGTTAAACATGTCATTTTGGATTAGTAAATATAAGATAATAATTTTTCTCCGTCAAATTATAGGGAAAAATATAAGAACGGCAATGATAAGTTCTCGACAGCTAGTTTAAACAATATAAAATTATTTGTGTATTTTTTATCTAGATCTTCTTTATTTTTCCCTTTTTCAATTGAATAAGTTTTTGTCTATTTCAAAATAGTTTAAACATCATAATATGTGATGTTGGAAATCCACTTCCTGATGTTATCACACAGAAAGTGAAACTTGCTCAATTAAGTATAACAAGAAAGTGCAGGATTTCATAAGAACATTAAGAAGATATTAATCAGAAAATATTTCATGTACGATTTAAATAATATCAGAAAATAAAAGTTATTTTTAATTGTAAGACTTGGAAGAAAAACTCTGTAAGAAGAACAAAACTCACCAATAGTAAAGCTACAAAACATTGTCCCCAATTCTAAGGACAGCTCTTCGTAGTTCGAGTATGTTCTGAGGTCAACTTTCCTCATATATGGAGCACCATCCATACTCACCTTCACAAACAAACATCGCATGCCTGCTTTCCCTTCACCCTCTTCCTTGTTCTTCGCTGGGTTGATAGCCATAGTATTCTTCCGGTAGTTTTTAATAGGGGGCCATCCAACTACCTGGGCCCTGTTCCATTTGGTTAAGCAGAACGAAAGGGGTTAAACACAATCAAAACAGAAATAAAACTCTACAAACATAGCATTGTCCTGTTCAACTACAAATTCAATGATAACAACTAGCAGCATAGATCATCAAAACAAACATTAGAACAAGCCAATTTTTAAAAGGCAATTCATATATTATATAGAAAAAAAAAACATAAAAGGAAAATCAATTTCAGAGGTTCAACTACCAAACAGAATTCAGTCATTGTAGTCTAAATGAAATGATGTAATGGAGAGGTCACAAACCAAGAAGAAGAACAGACAACTGATCCACAAAAAAACCAATCCACCAAGTAAGAACAGCATAAAAACTCACGTATCTCAATCTTACTTAGCAGCATTGAGGATCGCGCGATCCACAGCATTATTCTCCTTCTCAACAGGATTCCCGACCGGACCAACATCCTCCGCCATCGGCCAGCAAAGCTTCTCTCTATCGGTTCGACTCCCACAAGACAGACCCAACAGAACAGCCCCATCTGTTGCAGCAGTAAACACGCTTTTAGCTCCAGCAACAAAACCCATTTGTATACCGAGACTAAGCCCAATGCTGTCCATCGGCCCCGGTGAATCCGATCCAGGAAGCCCAAGCCTGAGCTCCGTCTCCTTCAGATTCAGCCCGATGTCCTCTCCCTTCACATCCGCCACCCCTCCATCGACAGAAGAAGAGGGCAACGGCTTAACTGCTCCGCCATTCGGAGCGACCTCATGCACTCCCATGTAATAGTGCTCCAACAGCGGCTTCATCTAGCTTCCAGCGACCGGTACAACAAGTCCGGCTACGATTTCCGTCGCCTGAATTTCGTCGACACCTACGATGCGCTCTGCGTTCCCTTCACTCCGCGATTCAACCTGATTCTTATATATGGGGACAAGCACGGCCTAGGAGATGTTATAGCCACCTCTTCTTTTGAAAAGGACGCTGCGGTTAAATGAGAAGTAAGCGTGCAACTAAGAAAACAGGTGAGGTGTTTATAAAAAGTGACAGGTAGGATTATAGGAAATTAAATAAAAATGTGAAAAAGGAAGAAAGAGGAAATAAATGATAAATATATATTAATACAGCTGCTGGAGAGTGGGAGCAAAATAGCCGACAGAAGACTGAGAGAGCGCCCGGCAACACCAGATTGGGCTCCTATTTCTATTATTTTATTTTTATATTTAATATTTATTTTAAGTGGCAATTACAATATTACAAACATATCACTCAATTGTTATATTTATGCCTCAAAAAACTTTCATATCTGCATCAAGAATGCCGCTATGAATCTCAAATAAATCAAATGGTCCATAGAGAAGATGAAGTGACCGCTTGAGGGGTAGTTCGAGGGCTTGCCTTTACTTGCCCGACTTCTGCTGGCCAGGAGAAAAAAAAAAATCTTGTGGCAAACGGAGCTCGACCATCCTCTAAAGGGTCACCGGTACTAACTTTGTGCGAACAAATCCGAGCAAATAATAGTGTTGTGAAATTTAACGCGGAATAAAACAGGAATCGACACAAACTAGAAGAAGAACACAGAGATTTAACGAGGTTCGGCAGAGAATTGCCTACGTCCTCGGGAGCGAGCGGCGATTTCACTATTTCAGAGAAGTTCAAATACATCCCATAGGGTTTCACATATAAATAGACATATACAAACCCTTAGATAAAATTACAATCACGCCCTCGCTCCTCCCAACCCCCCTTTATTCCAAGAGACACTCCTTTTCACCAGGAGACACACCTCTTCAAAAGAAACTCCAACTCCCTAGATAAGAGCCATATCTAACAATTCTCCACCTTGGCGAATATCCAACACCTTAGGAGATATGCATCACCCGGTATATGCGCCTACCAAACAAATCTCCACCTTAGTGAATATTCAGCCCCTTTAGAAGAAAATACTTCATGGAGTTTCTTACACCGTAGTGGGTTGGGCAACCAAACCATCTAACCTGGCTTGGTCAAAGTTCCTGTTGCATTTTCATCATATGATTCAACAGAGCGATATCCACCTGCAACTGTACTCCCTATCAGTTTATAGATGTTACCTACAGTGATCTTTCCTTTCATCACAGTCAGTGCACCCTTAACAATTTCGATGGTTTCCCTATCCTCATCTGCCTTAAGAATGAAACCATTTCTGTGTAGAGTGCCCAAGGAAATCAAATTCTTCTTCAACTCTGGAACATGTCTGACATCACATAATGTTCTAACAGTATCATCATACATCTTAACTCTGACTTTACCAATACCAGCAATATTGCATCGTCTATTATCACCCAAATAGACTGAACCAGAATCAGATAACCTGTATGAAGTAAACCACTCCCTGTTAGGTGTTATGTGATAAGAACATCCTGAATCAAGAATCCATCCATCCT